AAGATGAAGCCAGGTATGAGAAATTAATTTAAGCCTAAACTAAATATTTTTCATCTCCAAACTTCGATTTCATGTCTCTGGACTACATTTAATCAGCTCTCTTACATTCCAATAGCTTATAGTTTTCAATTCATGCTTTCATATACAAAATATCACAAAAAATTCTGTTCTGTTGTCAAGATCTGGCGAACTATTAGCATCATACAACCGTGAATATATATACATATTAAGAAACCTCAAAATAGGAAGTTTAATTTAAAAACTATACTATTTTTCTATCGGCAAAAGTATCCTTTGACAAGTTGAGATTTATTGAAAAAAGTCAGTCAAAGCATCATATAGATGTTAGTTACTACGAGTTACGAGATGGATCACTTTTTAAAAAAATCTCCATTTGCTTTTAATGTTGGCACATATGAAAAGTGACAGACTAAAATAGAATTTGTTACTAGTCGAAATTCCAAGCGTTATATGAGTTTTACATTGTATATCATTGTAGAATTGAAGTAATAGACTATTTCTCAAAAGAACTGATGAATAAAATGACATATTACATGCACCGATTTTTCGCCGTTTAAATCAAGATATGTCAACCAACCGGTAGAAAAAATTTAACTGGTTTCAAGTATAGAACACGTTACAACTTGTTTACTATGGCAGTAACTCGACTATATGAATATTTTATATGAGTTATACACTCAAAAACTGGTTGAATATTGTTGACAAGACGCCCTAGTAAAATATTATTTTTTACTCATATAAATCCTTTTAATTTTATTACAGTGACATTTTATTGCGTACTTGATGAGGGCAAAGGAGTGATAATATGATTTTATTGCATATGGTTGAAAAATGCTTGTCACTTAAATATAACTACGTTTTTTTTTTCTTGTATCCTAGTTAATATGTTTAACATTCATTCTCCTTGTCTTTAGAAAAAAGTAATAAACTAATCAAGCGTAAGCATGTGATACCCTTCGATGTAAAAACACTGCACACCTGTGCTTTATTCACATTAATTTTAGTGAAGAAATGAGTCGTGGCTGTGTTGACTTACGAAAACGTTGGGACGAGCTTGTTGGTAAATCTGAACAAGAAGCAGTTAACGCAATTAGACAAGATGGTAGAAAAAAATTAAAATTATCAAACATTGAAGATATTGTTTTTCTTTGCATAAACTAGGTGAACAAAATATTGAAGTAGTCGATGATGGTACACCAGAATCAATTGCAGCAATCCAAAGTGGTGTTGTTCGTGTAATTTTAGACGAAAATAAAAAAGTTAAATATCCACCACTTCGACAAGCCTAATGAAAACATAATAAATATTGATTTTATATTAATGTAGTTTGTCTTACACATTAGTTTTTTTTTTCTCTCTAAATAAAATAAAGTTTGATAAGAATCAAGAGCGCAAAAAAAAATAAATAAACAAGAACTCTAGATGACTTAATTATCATTCTGTGGGTCGTGATTTATTCGGCATAAAAATTGCTGCTCATTTAGCTGCTCATTTAACGCCAGAATGGCGTTCTCAATATCTTCAATATGAAGCTATGGTTGCTATACTCTATGCTGCTGTTGATTGAGCTCCATCTCATGCTGAAACAACTCGTAATCGTTATTTTTCACGAATTGATGAACGTTTTTTTGCTTATTGTAATAAAGAACTTCTTAAAATTAATGTTTTTTTTTCGGTGAAAAATTATCTGAAAGTATTCGTCGTTTTGAAGAATTAAATTATTTTAAAAAACCATTAACAATTCATGAATCTGAACAGACAATAATTCAACGAAGACGACACTATAGAAAAATTCTTCGTTCAAATTATAATCATATTGATGATTTAAAATTAGCATTTAGTGAACTTTATTTATTATTAGTACTCTTACAAAATTATCAAACATTAAATTATATGGGTTTTAAAAAAATTTTAACTAAACATGATAAATTATTTCATAGATTAAATGGAATTGAATGGTTTAAAACAAATATTGATTCATCACCATTTGTTAGCAATCAACAAGTATCAAGTTTAATTGATGAAGTTGAAA